GTTTTTATGTAAATTTAAAACTTGTAAAAATTAGTTAGTTAACTAAAGTATATCTAATAAAATAATCACGGGAACATTTTTTTCACGGATTTTTGTTTATTCAAGTGTCTTTTTCAAAAAGTTGCTAGATGTCATTCCGAATCGAATGAGATCTGGATCATAATTTTCGGTGCCCTTGGACGGAAGTTCCAAAAAAGGATCTTGTGACCCAGACTATATTATAGTAGAATAACTTGAAACATATGAAAAATCAGTGAAAAATGAAGATTGAAAAAATTGAGAATCGGTTTGTTAGGTTATGACAGTTGTCATGGTCTGCGTAACGACAGTAGAAATTATGACAGTTGTGATTGTGCACGCGTGAATAATTTCTATGTTATATCAGAAGCTAAATTAACAATAACCATCACAGTTATTTAAAATGTGAGAAGACCGATTCTTTTACAACGAAGCCGTAATGCAGTTATACTGCAGAATATTGCCAATCAATTCACTGCAAATGAAGAATAAATCACACTAAAGGAGAGCCTTAGACAAAGGAGAGCCGTGTTCAGTGTTGCCAGGTCCACTGTTTTTGCATTAGATCTCCTGTTTTTGGCTCTCGAGCTACTGTTTGCGAGTTAAAATGTATTATTGACTCAGTTTACTTTCTAAAATAATCATTGAATGACTGTAAATAGTGGAAATCACCATGTATAAAGTATAAATTATATTTTCTACTGTTTTTTGTATCAGTTTACTAATTTTTTTGTAACAAACTCTGCTGCCAAGTATGAAAAAGATCTGGCAACACTGGCCGTGTTAGTATGGTCCGACTGCATGATTTACAAATATGCATTATTCAAAAGGTACCTAATATAACTCGGCTAATAACAGAAATGTTGTTTATGAAGCAAATTCATGGTTATTCAAATACATTTTTGACGGACGTGCCAAAAAGCTAACAAAATAGCAATGAAATGATTTGATTGATAATTATATGGAGCACATATAAATAATGAAGCTATTGTCTTTTACATTTTAACAGAGGAATATTCAGAAATTATTTACGATATATTGGGAAAACGATAATGGACGAACCTTATTCAGATAAATGCGTGACTT